AACGTCCATTCCAGCCTACTTTATCTTTATTAGTATGACCTAGCGATTAAAAACGTTTAGTAAATCTTACGGCAGAAGGAGGACTATCTGAACTACGCCATAAATCGCCAAGATAAGGGAATTTGAGCCTCTCTGATGAAAAAGAAGCTTTGTTCCTTGCTAGCATTTTCATGTGTCGCCTACCTTGGGAGTAAGAGACTTTTAGAGATTGTATTCAGTTGGTTAGCACACCGTGGTGCTTACGTAGCCTAGCAGATTCGTTTAAACCTATGTCTGATAAGTTTTCATCATTAAGATTTTGCCAAAAGTTTGCAATGCATGTTCATAAAACCAAACGCCTGGTCTTTCAGTTGAAAGGCCTGCTCATTTGCATCATCCAGTGATGAATGAAGCACGAATTACATACTTTGTCAGTTTCCAACGCACGCACTGGTTACTTGTACTCCATTCTTAATCTATATAACCTGTTTGGTTTGAGCCTATGGATTTTTCTGAATTTTAGCTCCGCGCTTCAGAGGCTTCTGGGGTACGTTCTAGTGGTATACCAAACATTTAATTATAAAAGCACACACAAACAAGCTCACACCCTCGACAGCGGGGCACGCTAGTCAACTGTACAATCTGAATCAAAAGACCTTTTTATAGCTTCTCATGTTAACATATAAGTCTGAGTAGGCTGTTAGTCACAGTCAGCAGGACAGATTGTTCATGATGGCGAACACTTAATTAACTGCCTGAAAAGCCGCCATGTAAAATTTTAACAACGACAGTAAAGCCTGTCAGGTCAACTTACCAGACTAAGAGGACCAAGTTCCAAAATTATGGAGCCCCAGGCATCTTTCGCCCTAACTCCCCCTCCCCATCACCTATAAATCTTGTTAGCTCGGTCTGTTATGTGAATAACTCTTCACCATAGCAGGATTATCGGTTGGTATAAACATGACCATGTGGCTATATAAAGTTCTCTCTATATTTTAGTTCCGCGCTTCAGACGCTTCTGGGGTACGTCCTCATATTATAGCAAAAATTTCAATTATAAAAGCACACACAAACTCACACCATCGACAACGGGGCACGCCAGTCAGCGGTACAATCGGAATCAAGAGGCTTGCTAAGAACCTCCCTATCCACCGTTTTTGGCTCTTGTTAGCTTAGCCTGCCGTTTGTATAACCCTGCACCATGGCAGAATTGTCGATCGATATAAACATGACCATGAATCGTTACGAGTCTGGATACTACTCTGACGTAGAATGTCAACAATACATCGATAGACTCGGAAGAACAAATGAGAAAGAAAACAGATACGCAAACAATGGAGAAAGTTGTTGGAGGTTACTGACTATGGGACTGAACCAATGGAGTTATTTTCAATATGATTCACGACAATTTCCCCTTCTCAGATAAGGAGTCAGCGAGATATAGTCGAGCAAACAGCCTTTATGCTGGTGAGAGCGCACACATGACCAGTGTCAGGCGCCGACTGGAATCGATGTGCAAGAATGACTGTCGATTGGCGGCACTGCGAAGAAGTAACAGTTTACGGGCGTGTTAATGTTACACTACTCGGTCACTCCAAGTGTATCGTAAGAACCCACTCCGACTTGCTTGGAAGAGCGCAGGACATGCGAATTCAAGTGTGACTGCCGACACGCGTAAGAAGAAAAGCGCGTTACACGGTGCCTGTCTCCTCGACAACGCAGACCGCTTCACCCAACGCTGTCGTGCGGAAATGTAGGAATATTAGGCAAGGTTTGATCTTGCAGCCGCACTTGATGAACGTCATACGGTCAACCTACTGAATTATTTTTGAGTAGACGAGATTGCGTTAAAATAGCGTGAATGACATTGTTAAGACGAATGTACACTAACCCAGCTTCCAGTTGACCATACGGTCACTTTCTTTCCTAATCCAGCGAGTGGATAGACACTCTCCGTCCCGTTCAACATTTGACTTCACGGTTTCACGGGCTACTACTTAATTTTGTGTATCCCTCTTTTAAATTAAAAATTTCACGATAATTTACGTTACTTCGACGGCGGTACTGCTTCCTGTGGCCATTTCGTCGCTTTGTTCCGCACCCTTGCCTCGATCAGCCATCAGTTTCTTCGAACATTTTGCGGAGCGACCTTGGCAAAGCATTTCCACTTTCTGTTGGTTGGCAGCTTTCCCGTTGCGCCTTTTCCTCGTACCGTGCTCTCCAGCGTCTTCTGCAAACTCTTTTGCATGCAATTTTTAATTATTATATTACTCATGCTAATTTCACTCCCTTTAAACTACCTTTTCTTGGTCGATTATGGCTCCCTTTACCTTCCTTTATTCCCGCCTTCCCCTTGGCCTGCCCTAAGGCCCCACCCGTAAAACCCTCATTACCACCATTCCCGCACTACAGGTTCCTAGGGTTCTCCTTCCGCCAGCGGGGCCGCTGGACCGAACCCCACCGACATTTCTCTTGTTGCCAGTTATCTCATTTTCTCCTCCAGAAGCCTTCACGATCAACAAACTTGCCCCAGCGTGAATGATGACCAGCGCGCGTATTTTGAAACCGGCCTGGTCGTTTGAGACCGTGGGATCTAATCATTCGCATAATTAACCGCCTGCAAAGATGGTTAAATAAGTGTCAACGAGCGCCAACGTTACAGATGTCCTTTAAACAGCTTAGAAATTCCTTTTCCCTTAGAGGTGCACAAACGGAGAGATTTTGCATGCTTTCAGTCAGAGAGGAAGTGTGAATTTGTTCCGATTGCACCTGTCAGCTGCAAAATGTTCCATCGTTTTCAGGCGGCAATCCTGTACGCACCATATGAGGTAGAAGTTAACGCAAGCTGCATTAACCTTACTTATACTGGCTGCCAATTAAGTGGACACTACGGAGTTGGACGAAGTGGTGCGGCCTAGGTAGCAGAATCTATCTAATTAATTCACTAAGACTTTAGAGGCAGGCAGATACAGGACTGACCCCGCAAATCCTGCAAGGTCGAGCTGCAGTTTTGAGATGCCTTTTCGAAATGCAATGCCACCTACGGATTCTTGCTTGGATGTGTTTTTGCGTCCTTACTGGGTGCAGGGTAGCGAACACCGTCGAGGAGGTCAGACACGGTAAAAAATAAATAAAATGGCAGAGAAGAGCACTGTTTGTCGAGTCTACTAGTACCTTTCGCCACTTGAGAATATCAAGTCGGTCAGCTGCTTAGCTGAAATTAGTGAGGCTCAGGAATATGGACTCCCGCGTATTGCAGGCGGCCTTGCTCTAAATTCAACGGGGTTAGAGTTAGGGTTAGGATTAAGCTTATGAGGGATAGTGTTGGGGTTGAAACTCGGAGAGTTAGTGTTAGGATTAAAGTTGGGACAGGAGAACGTGAGGCTCCTGAAGTCTGATGCGGGAGTACCTGTACATAGAGCTGAGAGGGCGTCAAAATTCCCGTGTCCGATTCCCAAAATTAATTGTATCAGTGTTGTTGGCATGTGAAAACCCAGTGTGAATCCAATGTCAGTTGGGTTACTAGCATAACTTGTTTTTTTAAAGAAAACTTTGGAGCACAGAGGACAATTGCATGTTTTTTAGCTTGCGTTTCTTGTCCCAATGAGACTAAATAGAGGACTTTGGATAATGCTTTGAAATTAGCCTTTCGGTTTCATTTAGCATGTTAACTTGTTACAACAAACACACTGGGACCTCCTACACCTAAATTAGATTTTCGTAATGAAACAGGGTGGTGGGGGTGTTGTTTCACCTCTGTTCATATATTTATGTACAAAAAGACAATTTTGTTCTTTTTGTTTTGCAGATTCGTGCTTCGAACGAAGTAAGTCCATTTCTCGTTGCATTTCTAGACTTCGGCATGCAGGAGAGACATGCAATTTTATAGAGTCGCAATTTCCTGGTTAGGCTGTTTTAAATGACCTTGTTCGGAACAACGACGTCCCTATTCCAGATAACTACAATGCAATAGACAATTTGAACGACCACCGTTTTTAATCTGGTCCGTAAACCCTATTTGATTGGCTGGACGTGAAGCCTCTGAATATAATGAACACTTACTCTTTGACCTGAACTGGTTTCCTTACTGTGGTGAACTACAAGTTCGAGAGACTTTCATTAATAGAATACAGAGTTTGGTGATTTTTTTGCGCAAAGTGCTTTACTGAAGGATGCGCTCAGAGCATTTATTGTTTCCAGTTAAATTAAGTTTGCTTTTCTTTTAAGACATATACCGATGTGGAGGAGGACTGATTATTGTGTATTCTGGCCCCTTTGAAGTTGGTAAGTGGCTGAGTTCCCTTGCATATTTTTCTTTTTCTGAAGCAAAAGACCGGAGGATTTTGAAAAAATCCGTATCCATATGTCCGTTTGACCGTCGCGAGCGGTGATATCCACAGTGTGCATTGCAGTACGGCGGGCACAGAGCAGTGACTTGCGTGTTAATTAGTTTGTGGTACTAGCTGACTTGCGCAGCATCTGCCGCGCTCTCTTCTCTCTCTCTCACCCTTCTGGGCCCGGTGGCAAACTGAGTCAGGAGGATCAGAGGCGGGATTGGTCGCAGTGGTTGGCAGAGCTCAATGCCTTGTCTACGCGTGCCACATACGACCTGTCCTCTCTTGCGACGCACTAAGTTTTCACAAAAGGAGGACTAGTGGCTCAGGTCTCAAATGCACGAGAGTGCCATAGTGGCCACATTGAGAGGGGGCCATTCTGATCTGACCCTCCGTCATGAGAGGACCGAGTTGTGCGTCAGTTGGCAGCATTTCAAGCCACGAATTTTAGCGAGTAGTCAGATTTTTATAGCGAGGAGTGCGCCGAGATGCCGTGAGGGCAGATCTCACAGTATTGGCTTGATTCTCTTTCATCTCGCATGCATAATTCCGCTTACCGATCGGATTCTGGAGATGGGCAAAAGAGGGTGATTTAGCTAAATATCCCATCCGCAACGTTTTCCCACAAAATGCACTAGGTCCTCACGTTGGGCGGGTGGGAGGAGGGGAGTGTTGGATCCTCATGGAATGGCCGCCTGCAACGACAATGGCCTCCTTCTCATAGGAAATTACGCTGGGCACCGGCCCTTGCTGACCAATACATTCTTCCGCTTGCCGATGCGTAAGAAGGCCGCCTGGATGCATCATCGATCGCGACACTGGAAGTTGCTGGACTATGCTCTCGTCCGATGGCGAGATCGGCAGGGCGTGATGATGACCAAAGCGATCTTCGTCGACGATGATTGGAGGGACCACTGTCTCGTCATCTCCAAGATGAGGCTTCGTCTGCAAGCCTGCAGGCCACAACGTAAGCGACTCCCAGGCAAGCTGAATACTGCTTTCTGGTATTTGCCTGTTCACTGTTCGCCTTTCGGCAATCAACTGACCCAGTGGCTGGAAGACCTGCCAGCTGCAGATGAAAACTTCTTCGTGGAGACTCGATGGTGCCAACCGTTAGACACCGTCCTCCTGCTCGCCCTGGCTGTCCTCGGCCACGACCTTGCCAGCGCCAGACTGGTTTGACGACGATAACGCAGTCAACAACAATCTGCTCGCCGAGAAGAACGGGCTGTATGGAGCCTACCTCGACCATCGTACCGAGGCAGACAGAGCGGTCTTCTTCCTATGTTACCGCCTTGTTCAGCAACAACTATGGGAACTGCAAGACGCTTGTGTGGCTCACAAGGTCGAGAAGATCCAGGGATACGTCGACCGCAACGAATCAAAGAACTTATTCGTCGCGATCAAGGCGATCTCTGGTCCCCAAACAAAGGAACTGCACCGCTTCTCAGCCCCGATGGAGCAACGCTTTTGACGGGAAAGCCGCAGATTCTGAAGCGTTAGGCCGAGCGCTTCAGAGACGTCCTCAACCGTCGCTCCGCAATTCCTGACGCCGCCACCGACCGGCTTCGCAATGTGGAAATCAACGTCGACCTGGATCTCCCGTCCTCCCTTCCAGAAGCCACCGATGCCGTGCAACAACTCTCCAGTGGGAAGGCCAGGTTCCGGCGCAATCCCAGCTGAAATCTACAAACACGGTGGCCACCGACTAATGGACCAACTCACAACACCATTTCAGAAGATGTGGCGCTGTGCAAGAGTTCCTCAGTATTTGAAGAATGCAACCATTGTTCAACTTTACATGCGCAAAGGGGACCATCAACTCTGTGACAATCACAAAGCTACCTCCCTACTCAGTATCGCCGGGAAAGTCTTCGCCCGCATCCTCCTCAGTCGCCTCAACGGACATCTCGAGCAAGGGCTTCTGCCGGAAAGCCACTGTGGCGTCTGACGACATAGGGGCACCATCGACATGTTCCTTGCCGTTCGCCAGCTACAGAAGAAGCGCCAGGAGATGCGAACCCACCTCTACACTACCTTCGTGGACTTGGGAAAGCTTTCGATACGGCGAATCGTGAGGTACTGTGGAAAATCATGCAGAAAGTGGGCTGTCCTGAACGATACGTCAGCTCCATGACGGGATGATGGCGCGCATCACGGAGAGAGGCGCAGTCTGCGAGACATTCGCAGTGACCAATGGAATGGGACAGGGCTGCGTTCTGGCGCCTACCCTCTGCAGTTTCATGTTTTTTTCATGTTGGTGGACGCCTACACTGAGGAGCGCCCTGGGATACGCATCGCCTACAGTGCTGACAAGTATCTTCTCAACACCAGACGCATGCAGGCTCCACGACGATTACGTACGATCTGCTCTTCGCCGACGAACGCGCGCTTAACACCACGACCGACGTGGACATGCAACAGAGCATGGACCTCCTGGCCGCGGGGTGCGCGAACTTCGGCCTGACTATTAACACGGACAAAATTATGATTTTGCATCAACCGTCGCCCGACACGCAGCGCGGCACCATTCGAATCAATTCCGACGGCAACTAGATCAAAACCGTGGGCAACTTTGATTATCTAGGAAGCGCACTTTCGAGCAGCACCGGAATCGACGACGAAGTGGTCAACCGGATCTCCAGAGCCAGCCAAGCCTTCGGCCAGCTTCAGGA